AAAAAAAAAAAAAAAAAAAAAAAAGAAAGAAAAAAACAAACAAACATTAAATCTGCTGGAAGATAGAATGGGTAAAACTCTTTTAAGACATTGGTGTATGCAAAAGCTTTATGAATAAAACTCTGATTCCATACAAATTATCACAAAGAATCAACAATCAGGATCTCATTAAAAAGCTTTTGCTCAGTAAGAGAAACCACCAACAGAAGGAAGAGACAGCCTACAAAGTGGGAGAAAAATGCCAGCTGTTCCTCAAAGGATTACTATTGAGAACATATAAAGAACTTATTAAAAAAAAAATCTACATCTCAAATTTATTATTTTTTTCTGTATTTTTAGGGAAGGGTCTACAGGGTGTTCAGGGTCTCACTACTAGTTTGGACTCAAAATGATCCACCTATTTACAGCCTCCCAAGAGCTGGGATTATAGGTGCGTGATACCACACCCAGTCTCAAGCATCACCAGTCTCAATCCTCACCTCAGTGTGCCCCAGGGGCGGGGCCAGCACAGCAGGCCTGGGGATGGAACCCTGGCCCCTGTGCCTGCTTGCAGGTGCTTTAATCTGATGGGCTATTGGGCAGGCCTCTACAACTCAAATTTAAAGACCCAACCCAAAAATGGGCATCAAGGGCTGGAGATGTAGTTCAGTGGCGCAGCACCTGCCTAGCAAGTGTGAGGCCCTGAGTTTAATTCCCGGTACCAAAAAAGAAAATAGTAAAAAAAAAAAAAGGGGGGGGGGCATCTGAGATCAATACCAATTTCTTAGATGAAAAAATTTCAACATCATTGATCATTTGAGATGCAAATTGAAACACTGAGGGCTGGGGAGATGGCTCAGTAGAATAAACACTTCCCTGGCAAGTGCAAGGGCCTGAGTTCGATCCCCGGTTCTGCAAAAAAAAAAAAAAATTGAAACACTGAGATTCCATCTTACCCTGGAGAAAATGTCTATTATCAAGAAATCAGGGGCTGGTGAGATGGCTCAGTGGTCTAAAGCACCTACTTAGAACAAGCTTAGCAAAGCACAGGGACCACGGTTCAATCCCCCAGCACCACATGCCAG